CTCTCTGCACTAGACAATGATGATGATTGTCGTGATGATGACCATGGTATGATGAGAGTATGGTGTGAGTATGATGGTGATGGTGAGTGATGGACGAGTATGATGATGATGCTGTGGATGATGATGATGCTGCTGCTGCTGCTGATGATGATGATGATGATGATGATGATGATGATGATGATGATGATGATGATGATGATGATGACGATGAGCAGATGATGAGGATGTCTCGAGCGGCTTGCTGGTTTTTGTACTCCTAAGGGGGGGCCGCCAGGGGTATTGCACGGCCTCCGTTCGCGCCCAAATGGTGGTGATGTCTCAGGCGGTTTGCCTGTTTTGGTCCCCAACATCCTCCGGTTTTCGGAGCAGATTTTGATGATGTCTCGTGCGAGGCGCCTCCTAGGGGGGGGCCGCCAGGGGTATTGCACGGCCTCCGTTCACGCCCAAATGGCGGGGATGTCTCAGGCGGTTTGCCTGTTTTGGTCCCCAACATCCTCCGCTTTCGGTGCAGATTTGGAGGATGTCTCGAGCGAGGCGCTCATTTTCGCCCCCCAGGGGGGCCAGATTTTGAGGATGTCTCGATGGGTTTGCCTGTTTTGGTGGCCAGACTCGTGGGCACATATTCTCCCCAGGATGCCACAGGAGGCTCCAGCACGCTTCAGGAGGCCCCAGGAGGCCACATGAGGTCCCAGGAGGCATCAGGAGGCCACAGGAAGATTGAAGAGGCCACAGGATGTCCCAAGAGGCTCCAGGAGGCCCCAGGAAGCTCCAGGAGGCCTCAGGAAGCCACAGGAGGCCCCAGGAGCCCACAGGAAGCGCCAGGAGGCCCAGGCAACAGGAGGCCCCGAGAGGCCCCAGGAGCAGGAGGCCTCAGCAGGCAACAGGAGTGGCTCCAATCCCATGTGTTTTACGTATGCTCCTATAGATTGGGCCTCACCTGGAGCACGAATCCTTGATGTTATACGTATGTTTCTATAGATTGTGCTTCTCCTGTGTATACAATCCAAAATGTTTTACGTCTGTTCCTACATATTGGGCCTCCCCTGGGGCACCAGTCCTTGGTGTTTTACGTGTGCTCCTATAGACTGCCCTTCTCCTGTGGCTCCAATCCGCAATGTTTTATGTACGTCTGTTCCTATAGATCGGGCTTCTCCTGGGGCACGAAATCCTCCCTAGGAGGTCCCAGGAGGCTCCAGGAGGCTCCAGGAGGCTACGCGAGGCTCCAGGAGGCCTCAGCAGGCCACTCGAAGCCCCAAGAGGCCCCAGGAGGCCCCAAGAGGCTCCTGGAGGCCCCAGGAAGGCCCAGGAGGTTTCTGGAGGCCCCAGGAGGCCCCAGGATCATGCGCAGAGACGCGCTCGTACTACCGAGACTCATTCACGCTCCAATCCGTTCGAAGTTGGATTCATGACCAGACCGTCACATCTCGAGCCCGCTTATATTCGGAAACTCTTGCGCCTAGACTCTCACGGCGGACAGGTCCATGCGAATAGATGCACATATGGGGGGCTCCACGCAGTGAATAATTATTCTCCGACCGCGCCGGACCACCCACCACCCCTCTCCTCCTCCCTCTCTGCACTAGACAATGATGATGATTGTCGTGATGCTGACATGGTATGATGAGAGTATGATGTGAGTATGATGGTGATGGTGAATGATGGATGTGTATGATGGTGATGCTGCTGCTGCTGCTGCTGATGATGATGATGCTGATGATGATGATGCTGATGATGATGATGATGATGATGATGATGATGATGATGATGGTGATGATGATGTTGATGATTATGATAATGATGAGGAGGATGATGGTGGTGGTGGTGGTGATGGTGGTGATGATGATGATTTTCATGATGATGATGATGATGATGATGATGATGATGATGATGATGATGATGATGATGATGATGATGATGATGATGATGATGACGACGATGAGCAGATGATGAGGATGTCTCGAGCGGTTTGCTGGTTTTCGCACTCCTAAGGGGGGGCCGCCAGGGGTATCGCACGGCCTCCGTTCGCGCCCAAATGGTGGGGATGTCTCAGGCGGTTTGCTTGTTTCGGTCCCCAACATCCTCCGTTTTCGGAGCAGATTTTGAAGATGTCTCGTGCGAGGCCCCTCCGAAGGGGGGGGCGGCCAGGGGTATTGCACGATGAGGAGCTCCACGCAGTGAGTAATTCCCCTCCTGACAGACTCGGGCTTCAGCAGGCAGGGGGCCAGGCCAGGCGGGCAGGCAGGGCGGCAGGGCGGTCTCCTGCTGACGCCGCCGACGCCGCCGCCGACGCCGCCGCCGACGCCGCCGCCGACGCCGACGCCGACGCCGCCGCCGCCGCCGCCGACGCCGCCGCCGACGCCGCCGCCGACGCCGACGCCGACGCCGACGCCGACGCCGACGCCGCCGCCGCCGCCGACGCCGACGCCGACGCCGACGCCGACGTCCAACCTTGGTTTTGACGGTGCTGATGACCAGAAGGAGCCAGATTCCAAGGAGTCTCTTGCGGTTTGAACAGATCCTCAGGATGTCTCAGGCGGTCTGCTGGTTCTCGCACTCCTACGGGGGGTGCCGCCAGG